AAATCAAAAAATTTCAGACTCAAAAATCAGAAATTTTCCAAATCAAAAATGATCCATTTTTTTTATAGGACTTGGGATTGAAATAGGAAGAATTTGGATTTGACTAAAGAATTGAAGGTGTTTGGCTGCTGGTTAAAGGAATGAATTGGATTTATTTATCTAACACTAAGATAATTTGAGTTTTATTGAGATTTTACTACAAATCTAACTTTACTAATTAGAAATATCTTTCAGTTTTATTCTTTTTTCAGATACAATAGATTAAAACATGTTCAATATCTTGATTGACTTGAATCAAAAGATCTTAGCATCGAAATTGCAGTGCTCAATTTATTGGTAGTGAATTTGTAACAAGCTTCAAAAAAAGAAATAACTGTTTTTTTATCATTCTTTTTTGTATTTTTTTTTTGTGTAGTGATAATTTTCCTATTTCGATTTTTTATTTTTCCTATTTTGTTAATGGTGATTTTTACCTTTTATTTCCATTCTGATGTATTTTTTTATATATATTTAGAATATAAAGGGTGTTGCATAACAAAAGATATCATAATGTCATTTTTATTACTTTGCCATATTTGTTAATATTATCATTATTGTTTGCTAATGATAATTATTATCAAAATTTATTGAAATAATAAAGACTCTTCATTAATACAGAATTGATTCACAAATGGAAATGCAACCTTATTTTTTAAAATTGATACATTATAATTTGTACATTTTGCAATATTCCTGAACTTCAGACTCTGAGTTGTGAGATTGGAAGTCAGAGATTTTCTTAACATAATATATTAATCATAAGATGAGAATATTACATAATTATCTATTGTGAATTATTCAGGATCTTGAACTATCAGAATTATGAACTGTCAAGATACGGCCTGGACAAAGAAAAATCAAAATAACAATAATATCAAGAAATATAATCGACAGCTTATTTAGAGTGGAGGAGCATTCACTACTTGTAACTTGCTTACAAGATTTGAAGTTTAACCAAAAGAATAAGACAATAATGTATTCACAAGTAATATTACAAGTTAGAACTTTGTTATTTTATTCGATTAAAACATGATCAAAGCATGTCTTCTTAGTGACTTGAAGATGCTTCTATATACAATTTTGAATTACTATGCTAATCCTATGTTAATTCTAAGGTTAGTAATTTATATTAATGATTTCTTTTAAGGGTAGAGTTTATGTTGATTGTTTTCGTTATGAAATGGTGAACTAAATTTTTTTGTATTACTTGTTCCTATTGATCAATAAAAAATAGTAATATTTATCTTGAATATCTAATAAAAATAGAATTCACATGATTAACTACTGATATTTTTCACCAAGTCAACATTTTATCCAATATCACATTTCATTTAATATCACATATTTATTAATTAAGTGTCACATTAAAGTCTATGCAGAACTTTGTTGCAACAAAGAAATTTTTATACTGTACGTATATCAAAAAAATCAAAATATCATAAAGTTTACAAAAAAAGAAGAAAAATTGATGCAATTTTACAAGTAACAATATTCTTTATGGAATTCCAATTGAACCGGCTACTATCTTAGATAACTTAATCGACTGTTCTTTTATAAAAACTCTAATGATAAAGAAAAAAGCCAATATGGTTATTGGGTAACAACGGTAAATATTTTTGATAATTGTATTAAATTGATTATGAATTTTTAGATTTGATAATTATATCTTTTGTTTTTTTGAGAGGTTGTTGTCTCTGAGTTTTCTTGTTCTTTTTACAAAACTGTTAGTAATACATTGCAAATTTATGATAAACTGTATTTTATAATTGGATATTTTCATATCGATATTAGAAAGTAATTAAGTTGATATTTCATAAAGATACCTACTTGTAAGCTTAATAGACTATAGATAAATTCTTCAATTTCCTTAGTCAAATCAGTGGCATTGAAGAGCATTTTTATTTTTATAATCAGAAGGTTGTATTTAATCCCTTTTTTCATTAACCCATTTATTATCACATGTTCTCCCGCAATATTTACACCCAAGCTAATATAATTTCATGTAAACTTCTTTGAACATTTTTTCACTAATTCAGTATTTCCGTCAAAACAAAGTTGAATTAATTTTTTATGATCTCTGATAATTTTATTATTGTTGATTTTTAATTTTCCACTTTCGAAATATGCAATTTCTTCCCAGTGTTGTCATAAATATGCTCGTATCATAAGATCAGGACGATCCCCTCTTGATCTCGTATGGTAAACAGTTTACAGTTTTTGCTTGCGACACTTTGGCGTTCAGTCCTGGTTATTTCTATTTTATCATCTGTAGGTAATTGATATATAAAATGAGTTATAATTTGAATAGGAGAGTTTTCTGATCCATTCAAAATATTTTGAAATGAATTAACTTTTAACTCCTACAAAAGAACATCAGTGATGTCTCGTGCAATACATCCTCGATCATGTTCATTTCTACCCATTGATCATGTTTTACGTTTTCTGTTGGTGTTATAAAGTTAGTTTGTTGAGTTTCGTTTCTTTTTTATAAACGGATCATTTTTGAATTAATAAAGTAGATTCCAATTGGTGTTCTATACTATTTTTGTAATTTGTTCATTTTCTATCCTATTGTTAGATAGTCTTCAACATGATATCGTTTGTTCTGATATATTTTTTGCTTGCATCTTGATAATTCTACTGTATCTTATAGTTTCGAAATTTCACATGATTTTTTTATCAAGAAAAATACAAGGAAATATATATAGTGTTACAGCTACGTTCTTTTTTTGGCGAATTGGAGGTTTTATGCTTGCAACAAGACTTTGGGAGAGATTGATAAACTGAGCAGTTATTTCTTCGATATCTAGAATCTGTGCTGATATCTACGGATATCGTTGAATTTGTCGATTAAGGGGAAGATTATGCGTGTTGGATGGGTGTTCGGGGAATTTCTTTATTGTTGCTTTTTTTAGACAAAAGTCTTAAACTCTTAAAAATAATAACTATTATACAAAACGGTTTCTTAACAATGGTATGACAACATGATTTTACGAAAAACAATGCCTTTTCTAGTACAAAGGACCTAACTGTCAAACAATATATCATTTAATGAGGGAAAGGGAGAGTTTTACAAGCAATAATTTATTTAGGGGAGAGTAATTGTATGTAAGAATTCAAGTTAAATTTGCTTGGAGAAGAATTTTAATTCTATTCTTTATTTTTAGTTTGTAGATCATTTTTTTATACATTTTTTTGTATTATGACATTTGTTACTTTAATACTTCTTTGGCTATTAATAAAATATCTATAATGAACACCCTAATATCTATGGACGAAACTAATGCAAGACGAATCGAAAATCTTGATGGAAATATGCTAAGAATGCTAAGAAATGCTAAAAATGCTGAAGATGATGAAATGCTATTAGATGCTATATTTTGACGAAAAAGGTGCAGAGAATGTCGTAGTTTCATGCTGTATACCAAAAAGAGGAGTCTGTTATTGATAATCGTGATGGGAATTTGATGTCTGCGTTTATTAGTATTAATGCTTTCACATCACTTGTTAATTCTGACCAAGGGACTTTAGTATTATATAGCCTATGTTGAGATTGACTTATAGGACCAGTTTAGAAAATTAGTAACGTGATAGATATATTCATCCGGCGTTAGCGATATTCATGGCTCGTCTTCTGCCATTTATCCCTGAAAATCAAAGAAATTTGTTCGCCAGTGGTAATAATTGTAAGCACAGTCTAATAAAAATATATTTCCCTAGGTCTACTATTCCCATCCTATCATTAATAATATTGAAGATATCAATTTTATTATAATCATTAACAATCTGAAACTATCTAATTAATATGATTCTATACATTTAATACAAACGTGACGAATTACTTAGGAATGAATGCGCTTTTTTCGTAATGTAACTCTCTCAGCTGTTGACGAATGATATTTCAAATTTTTTGATTAACTTGTATCATGATATTGTTTGTAGCTGACATCCGTGAATACTGGTTGCACTCAACCAAAGACTAGTTTTTAAGTCATGTTCCCAGTTTATTTTTTTTTGATTTTTTTTAAATTTTTTTTGATTTTAAACTAATGAACGCGTCCAGATCCAATACCACATATATCCAAACTAATAGAACTGAGAAGAATTGAAAAATAAAGAAAAGAGAATAGTTGAATTATAATAAAAGAAATCAAAATAGGAAATTCATCACCACACGAAAAGAGGAAAATGTTAGTGTAGAAAAAGAATGACAAAAAAATAACTATTTTCTTTTTTTAAGTCTCGCAAATTCAAATATCAATAAAAGTACCACAATTCGATACCAAGGTCTTTTGATTCAAGTCAATCAAGGTATCGAATATGCTTTAACCTATTGTATTTGAAAAACAAGAAATAAAACTGTAGGCACTCTTCTATTAATAAAATTATAGTAACACTTCATCAAACTCAAATTCAAATTATTTTAATATTAGATAAATGAATCTCAATCAAAACTGATCTTTAACCATCCCAACCAATAACCATCCACCCCAAACCCAACTCAAACTCAACTTCAATCCCGGATCCTCCAAATAATCCTAGCCTCATTTATACCTAATCTGAGGAGAATTTTAATTTATACAATTAGAATTCTCTCCAGAAAAAAGTGAAAAAAGCAAAAATTAATTAATAATTATATTAAAAAACAAAAGTAAATATATAATACTTTCTTACCATATATTATATAGGGATATATACAGATTATCCACAATTTACCTTGAAATCTCATCTAATTTTTACCCATTTATCTAAGCTAAGATAATTTCAATTTGAGTTTGATAGCATTATTATCACTTTACTAATAAAAATATATCTACAATTTTACTTGTTTCTCAGGGTATATTAAAAATCAACTATTATGCTGATTTTTAATATAACCCATACAATAAATAAATAATATATCCAACCCGAGAAAGACAAAATCAACAAGATTTCAAAGCATTAAAAAGCTTTGCTAATTAATGATAGTGTCTTTAGCAATAACTCAAAAAAAAAGAAAAATTGCTATTTTAGTTTGCTTTCCCCATCATTAATTGAAAAGAGTGTGAATTATGTAACAAAATCTATGATATCTGTTACATAAACTTGTAGTAATGTAGGTAATAGTAGAGGAAAAAGAAGAAAAAAAAGATAGTGATGGCAGAGGTGGAGATGGCAGAGATAAGGATAACGAAGGTGAGGATGACGGAGGTGGAGACGGTGGAGATAAGGATGATGATGAAGATGATGATAGAAATGATGATGGTGATGATTGTGAAGGTGATGATAGTAAAGGTGGTGATAATGGTGGTAATGATAATGGAGATGATGATGGTGGAGGTGATGGTGGAGATGATGATGATGACGGTGTTAATGGTGATGACAAAGAAGATGTTAATAATGTTGGTGATGGTGGTGAGGATCTTTTTTTTGTTGGTGATGATAAGGATGAGGACAGTGATAGTTTTCTTTTTCTATTATTATTCGCGGAATTCGCGCGAATTTCTAACACAATATCAGAGAAACCAATTGTTGGCATTGTTGTCAATTCTCTAATTAATTTCTCTTTGGCTTGCGATGCAGTTAGCATAGGAAACTCGCATCGCAATTTTTTACATGCACGAGTTGATTGTCTTTGCGCTAGCGAAAGAAAGCCCGGATGCAGTTCACCAACTTCAAATTTTCTTTTTTTTATTTGTGATGATAACGAAGATGACGAAGACGACGAAGATGACGAAGATGACAAAAATGATGAAGATGGTGATGAAGATAAAGACGAAGATGGTGATGAGGATAAAGATGAAGATGGTGATGAAGATAAAGACGAAAATGGTGAAGATGATGATGATATGGTGGTATCATTAGGCGTAGACAGAGGAGAAGAAGTAGGATGACCATTATTATTATTATTATTATTACTGGATCCATTAAATTAGTAGTGCGAGACGGAAGAGATTGAGACGGAAGAGGTGGAAGAACAGGGAGAGTAGGATGACGGTGATGATGATGTTGATTATTATTATCATTATTATTGAAAATATTTTTTCATAGTGCTTTTATATGTTCAGGTTCCAGAATATCGGATAATGTTAAAGACGTGAAGCTTTGGATAAGAGACTCCATATCTATATAATATATTATTATTAGTTACATAAAAATAAAGAAAAATAAAAAAGAAAAAGTGCATTCTTTCTTTGAAAGGCAAAAGAAGGTGAGAGAAGAAAAAAAATGCGTTATTTTTCTTCCTTTTTTGAATGGTGAAAGGTGAAGGAAGAGAAAAAAAATGCATTATTTTTCTTCCTTCTTTGAAGGGTGAGGGAAGAGAAAAAACATGTTATTTTCCTTTCTTGAAGGTAAGAGAAGAAAAAACGCGTTATCCATCTCTTTATCTATTCTTTTCTCCATAAAAAATGGGCGTATACACTTCTTCCTTTTTTCCCTACCCATTACTAACCGTATGTATAACTGTAAAGGTGATCCATCGAAAAATAGCAAGATACTCTTTTATACACATTACACACATGAATAGATGTAAAACAGACGATTCTTGAATATCACCCGATTCATCAAACAGAACAATGTGTCTCGTGACAAACAATGTATTCTACAAAGATTAATAAAAAATAATGGCTGAGTAAGAGGAATAATCAAAGGTGAACTGATAGAATAGAATAGAATGAATCACTTATATAAAAGAAATCTTTGTAGTAGTTATAATTGTTGACTTAGATAGTATTTGATTATTTGTTATATAAAATGAAACCTTAATAAAAAGCGACTTTATCAATCAATCATAATCTTGCTTGTCACCCAACATACAGAAATCAACATCAGATAGAAAAGAACTCAGAAACGACTGGAGATCATCACCATCCAAGAGAGATAAAATAATATCAATCATATATCGACCCGGAAATACAACTATGATCTCTAACTAAAGTAGCTCTAAGTAAATTCCTGACTTCCGTATTGATTGTACTGAGAATTTCGTATTAGATATATACAACAACGAATTCAATGGGTACGTCAATGATAAGAGATCTATGATATTAAAAAGATAAATATTAATAATGGCTTATGAAAAAATCAGATGCAGATAAAAAAAGAAACCAGCACCTATATATATGTCGAGCCACCAAAATATATCGTGATAGGATTGCCTTTCCAATCTCGTTGCATTGATTGTAGGTTTCCAACAGGAGTCCTCGTTCGCGGAGCTTTCTGATAGTTCCACTGTTCCGTTACCAACCTCCTCGGTTGAACTGGTAGATACACTGGTGCAAGTAGTCACAAAAATACTTTTTCTCATAGGATCCGATGATGAACATTTCTCGGGCTTTCCTCCAGATCTCGCACACTTCGCAAGCAGGTAAGTTTAACCGTTTTTCTCTGATGCATTCGTCGCAGGCTATTGCTCGACGTCCTTCTGTTAGGTGATAAGCCCTCGTGTAGTATTTGTCAACATACTGATGACATTGTTGGCATTGTTGGATTTGACTCTCCGGACGAATGTGTCATTTAGCCTCTTCGTAATTTCGAAACCTTGCAGTCGTTCGATTAGCCAAGAATATTTCCCGTTCGAATTCAGCAGCCCAGTTCTCATCAGTCTTGTATTGGATGCGGTATGGAATATGCCGTTCCATCGCTGCCCAATCCGCTAGGTCGTCTTTACATCATTTGCATTGGTGATCCCAGTTTCGCAGCTTTTTTTCACACCAACACATCTTACATGGACCTCTTCAATCCAAAGCCCATGGTTGGTTCTCCGATCGCTCTCGCTAGAATTTCCTCGTCATTATAATCATTCCAGGTATATTTTCGCCATTGTACTTTCATCCTTCTTTATAAGCCTGCACTTCCTTAATTTTCCTTGTTGCTCTGACTACTTGCAATGGTACGCCTCCGAAGTAGTTGTTACCGATATCTCGTGGTATCGTCCTGACCGGTGTTCACTTTTCCTCAAGGGTTACTTCAATTCTTTCGTCGTCAGGTTCTACCCTTTTCTGTTTCGGCTTAATCGTAATCATTTCATCCCAATTTCTTGTCCACATCAGGTACATCCTTTTGTTCACTTCTTGTTCTTCATACTCATCTTCACTTGATGACTCTTCCTCACTAGATTCTTCTTCCGATTTGTTGCTCTGCACGTTTTCTATATTATGGATGAATTTCATCAGAATCTCACCTTTTTGGCCATCCCATTCGAACGTCATTACACCTTTTCGCAGATTGATATTGGCGTTCATCTTTCCAAGCCAGTCCATTCCAACTAACACACTAAATGTCTTGGCCTCCGTCACATCCACGTTGGCTGGAATTACGATTCCATGAGGAAATTGTCGATAGCTCCTAAAGGTTACTTAGATTCACCGTTAATATTATTCATTCAAACATTCGATGGTCGTTGAATTTTAATATTATTCTTTTTCAGAAAATCTTGGGTCACTACGCATCCCGAGGCGCCAGTGTTGATGATCAAGTCGATGGGAGTCTTTTCGATATATGCTTCACACCCAGGCTGACGTCGTCCTAACTTTTTGTAGTGCCATTCCCGTCCTCCGCATTGATTTCTTCATTATCGGACGTCGCATTCCTTTCGACATCTTGATTCTCTGGGTGGGCGACGTTTCGATTAGCTGAGCGATGGTGATATTAGCCTTCATAGTGACCAAGTCTTCGATGATGTCGTAGGGCGTGGCTTTGGCTGCGAGGATGGGTAACTCAACTTTTCCTTTTCTCTTTCGCGATTTCTTCTTCTTAGGCGTATTCTCCTCAGGAATCTTCATCGATGGACCCGCTTCAGTCATTCCTCTGTCATCGTCCATTCCTCCGTCCCTGTCATCCACGATCGGATTCTCCGCTTTTCCGTCTGACGACTTCTAGTGTTGTGCTGTTTGATATATGACTCATGGCGAACCGCACCCTTTTGCTTCTTCTCGCTGGCCAGAAATTCGTGAGTTGCGAGTAGGGCGTTGTTACTGTTCGTATTTTGATTTTCAATCATCCAATATCACATTTATCTCTACAGATCTTTGTTGTTTACAAACTACATACGTACCGTACAAAAAAAGAAAAAATTGATGCATTTTTACATGAAAATACTATGAACGTAGAACATACTTAATTACATGTAATCATATTTTTGATGGATTCAGATTGAAAAGTAGATTTGTGACACTATAATCCGTTTATACTGATAAACCTCATAGTAACTTTTGTTTCCAAGTCACTTGATTGGCTTTAGAAAGAATAGAATAAGTCTTTTAGCATTGCGAATGAAGTATATGTTCTGATACAATATCATCATAATTGAACTGACAGCTAACCGTTTTTTACATTAAGGGTAGGGTATCACAATTGAGATCATCAAATTTATGCGCAAACCACACGATTAACTACCGAAATTTTCACCAACCCGAGATTTCTCTCAACATCTATCACATATCACAAACTCTATGTAACAACAGATCATTTCACATGCTGAATACGTACTACATTTTGCAGTCAAAATCTTTGCTCGTCGACAAGCTAATTTCGAAGTTATTGCACTGCCGTGACTAGGTTATTGGATCATAATTAAATTGCGTCACACTTTCATCTGAATGTACTGGCAAGTTCAACCTAAATTGGCCATTCCAATTTGAAGCAATTGGACTCACTAAAGAATGGAACACGAAAAAAAATGGTGAGATTCGAATATCTTGCCATTGAGGACTAAAGCTAAGTATATTCATTAAAAATAATCACAATCATCATTTAATGCAAATTTTATTTTAACTTCACAAATTAATAGTTTTTTTAAATTTTTTTAGCGTTTCATTACGTAAATATAACTGATTTGGAAAAAAAGTTCAGGTCTATAAAGATAAGTATAAAAGCACTTTTTCCACTACAATACATAGAATACTTTTCATTATTCTAAATAATCTAATCATTTTTTATTCCAAACTGCCTCGCATTTTACTAAAATAATATCCTGAATATACACTCTCCGACAAGGATATTCAGTTCGGGAAATCGTATTATCGGACCAGGTGGGCTTGGTTTCAGTCCAACACATCTGCAAAAACAAAGAGAAAACCGGAAAGCTTGAAGATGAACCAAAATCCCGGTCGTCCATGTGTTCTTTCGAATCGTTATAAATGGAATGTCATCTAATTAATATCATCTGAAAAATACAGTTCCACTGTTCAAATTCAACACGAGCTCCAAACTGAATTGGGAGTCAAAATTTAGTGAAAAGCATATGACATATGTTTAGAAGTTATGGCTTATTCACAAGAATTAAGCGAAAAAAAGTCATTACTTAAAAAAACACAAACAATTAAAATGGGTTAATTTGGATCAGACAGATGAACAGATGAATCACATAATCGGAACAGGTGAGCTTAGCTTCGGTCCAACGCATCTGCAAAAACAAAAAAGAAACCGGAAACCTCAAAGATAAACCAACATCCGGTCATCCACACATTCTTTCAGATCATACGAATGGAATGTCATCCAATTAATATCATCTGGGAAATGCACTATCACTGTCCAAATTCAACATGAGCTCCAAACTGAACTAGGAGTCGAAGTTTCAGTGGAAAGCACATGATATATGTTTAGAAGAATTAAGCGAAAAAAGCCATTACTTAAAAAAAAACACAAACAATTAAAATGGGTAAAAAATGCTGAAATTGGACGGCTGATAACTGGCGGAAAATAATTTGGTCCGACGAAAGTAGGTTCCAATTACATGTATTTGAATTAGACGGATGGACAGATGAAAGTGGTGTGGTGCTGGAAGAAGCCCTGGTGAATAATTCAAAAATCACTAATCGTAAATTTGGTAGTAGTTCCATTGTAGTTTGGGGTTGCCTAACCGAAAAATCGATGGTAAAATGAACACTGATGTCTACGTCGATATATTAGAAAATGCTGGAAGATGGTGAATTTAGCAAGACAACGATCCAAACATATCTCTGGAAAACAAAGCAAAGATTTGAGGATAACGACATTTTGTACTTTGCTTGATTGGCCCGCCGAGTTCCCCGACTTGAAATTTATAGAATGAAGATAATCAAAATCATCCATTATTTTCTGTGTTCCCAAAAAATAAAATAGAATTCGAGTTGTGCAAATCTGGGTTCACGTTTCTTTTTGCCAAACTGACATTTCTCCAAAGCAGATCTACCATGCCATGACATCCCGAAATTCAAAATTCTGACAGTTCATAATTCTGACAGTTCAAGATCCTGAATGGTTCACAATAGACAATTAGTATATTATGTCAAGAAAATCTCAGATCTCCAATCTCACAACTCAAAGTCTGGAGCTTAGGAATATTGCGAAATGTACAAATTATAATATTAACGAGTTTTCACTAGTAACTCAAAATAAAAAATAATTTATTTCACATGTATTTGCTTTTGCCTGTATTCTTTTGATTATTTGACGCATAATCTTTTGACACTTAACATCTTTTTTACCATAAACTTCCTATTGCTAAAATAATGAGATTTGTGAAGTTATATCATTCAGAATCTTGAACTGTCAGAATCTCGTACAATTCAGGATCTTGAACTGCTGGAGGATCCCATCAAAAGCATTTTATTTGAATAATAAAATATATTGATTTCAAAAAATAAAGTCACATTTCCATTTGTGAATCAATTCTGTATTAAAAAAGAATCTTTATTATTCCAATAAATTATGATAATATTAACAAATATAGCAAAGTAACACATCGGGAGAAATGGTAATAAGAGGTAAAAATCATCACTAACAAAAATAGGAAAAATAATCGAAATAGGAAAATCATCATCATACAAAAGAAAATGCAAAAAAGAATGATAAAAAAATAGCTATTTTCTTTTTTTGAAGCTTGTCACAAATCCACTATCAATAAATTGAGCGCTGCAATTTCGATACTAAGACCTTTTGATTCAAGTCAATCAAGGTATTGAACATGCTTTAATCTATTGTATCTGGAAAAAAAGAATAAAAC